GGCTGCTCGTCGGGTCGGGGTCCTTTCCTGCCGGGTTGGACGCTGATGTTCATTTCTGCATCAGTGTGTGACAGGATGCGTTTGTGTGTGCGCTGATCCCCTGGTTAGGAAGGATTGCACTCGAAATGTTCAAATTCCCTACGTCTGCGAGGAGGACTCCGTCGGCAGTGTCTGCACAGATGGGCCGGCGGTGTCTGCCTGGTCACGGCAGGAGGGAGATGGGGTTGGACAAGCTGATCATGTCCTGGTCTGGCAGCTGGCTCCTGATTTGGGACACTGTCCTAGGTTGGCCCCTGAGACAGTAGCTGAATCTCTCCTGTCTTGGAGACGGCCACTCAGGCAAACGAAAGACAACCAGAAGGCCTTATGTGCGGTCCGACGTTACCAATTCCTGAAACAGCGCGGTAACCTATGCAGCGTGTTATTTTATTTTTTTAGCCTCAACATCTTCTTTGTTCTTTCGCCCGGAAGCTAATTGGTATCTATTTCTCTTAAATAGTAGTGATCGGAGTTGGAAACTTTTTCAGCGGTGGCTGGACGTGGGGACAGTTAAACTCACCTTCGTTGTCTGAGCACATGTCACTGTTAGTATGTACGAACACAGAATTAATTTTCATCTCGGCGGTTTCAAATCACTCTGCCGCTCACCCGGCTAACGCTCTGTTGGCGGTGAAAATATTCTTCTCGAGAGTCACCATCAGGCCTCATTTTAGGGTCAGTGTGTTCCTGCCGATGATCATGTTTCTTAAAAAAAAAGGGGGATATGGCTCTGGCCGGTTTGGCTCAGCGGTTAGAGCGTCGGCCCATGGACCGGAGAGTCCTGGGTTCGGTTCCCGCTAAGGAAACGTACTTTGGTTGCAGTTTGTCCCTGGCCCCGTTGTGTGGGTGGCAGCCAGTCAATGTCTCTCTCTCATATCGATGTTTCTCTCTCTCCCTTTCCCCCCCTCTCCCTCCTGCTGTATCTGAAGATACATGCAAAAATGTCCTTGGGTGAGGATAAAAAAAAATGTGCATATGTGTCTCCTCATTGGATTTTAATTTGGTTAGTTTTCAGCTTTTCTTCTGTTCAGCAAGGTCTTCTGAGGATGTCAGATATAAACAAAGGGGTTGGGTGGGGCTTACTTTTTGAAAAAATAATTGTTTGGCCCTGGCTGGCTGGCTCAGTGGGTTGGAGCATCATCCCATTCACCAGAAATTGGTGGGTTTGATTCCCAGTCAGGGCACATTCCTGGGTTGCAGGATTGGTCCCTGGTCGGGTGCTTATAGGAGACAACCAACCGATCCATGTTTGTCTCTCACATTGATGTTTCTCTCTCTCTCTCTCAAAATCGACAGAAACATATCCTCGGGTGAGGATTTAAAAAATACATTTTCTTTATTAATACTCCTAAATTAATTTAACTGATTCCATTATGGTAGGTGTGATTGAGAAATTATGGAATTTAACTGATTCAATTATGGTAGGTGTGTGGAGAAATACAACGGCCAAAACACCAGCTACCATTCACAGCCGATACAAAGAGCATTCGCTAAATAGAAAGAACATGAATATTCATCTGAGAAAAACCACAGGCGATTTAAATCGGTGTTTAAATCTATAGAGACACCTGTTTAAATGCATATTCAGATGGGTTTTTCCTGCCCACATATCAGACTGTTTTCCTAGTTGAGTTTAACACAGGACATCTATTCGGTCATTTATTATCCATAGTGTGAATTGACAAAAGCTGCATTTTCTTCCTAAACAAAATGCGGTTTGTAATGTGGGTTTTCCCCTATTCTAGGTGAGCCTTTTTGCCATCCACCAAATCGATCTGTAACATCATCATGGCCGTGGTACAATTTCTCTGCTCTAAGCGCAGTGGGAATTTTATTTTAATGAACACATTTAATGTAATTACATCTCGGGTTATGAAAATGTCCTTTGGTCTCGCTCCTTCCTAATAATTCCGTGTTAGGAAGGGACACTTTCTCAAAATAGTTTTTCATCTTGCTTTTTGGCCAAATCAAGTTGGTTCAGACAAACCATCGGGCGTTTTCAGGGGGAGGGGGGAATTATATCGTTTTTCAGAAGTTAATGTCCCATGCTTTTAATATGTTGGAGCATGTTCATTAAACGGTGAAGTACTTTTGTGGACTAACTGTGTTTCAAGAGTTTAAAATACGTTTATTGACACCTTGTTCTAAGTCATGCTTGCGGGCGAAAACAAAGTCTGGTTGCCTCAGATGGTAATAATATATATGCAGGGAGATTCTTAGTAGCTGTTAGCAAATTTACTTTCTGATACATTCTTAATTTGGGCTAGATGGTATTCCGGACTTCCTAGTATGCACCCCAGGCACATTTTGAGGTGTAATTAACGATACCCGTCGCTGTGCGCCAGGCAAAAGCGTTGGGTGCTTCAGAAATTAACGTCGGTGTAAATCATTATTAATGGGCTTTGAGGATTGAATTCCCATAGAAAAGCTATGCTGTGGCCCCCAAGCCCAGGAAACCGGGGTGCTTTACCTCCAGGGGGCGTACGTGTGCACGGCGGAGCCCGGCGGGGCTGTCCTGGTGTTTTGGCCTGGAGGGGACCCGTCCTCGTCACCCCAGATGTTTGCTGTCATCATCGTTTCTGTTCCCAGCGAATGGCCCCAGTCTCTTCTCCGAGGGCAAGCTTGAGGCGCCATTGATCGCCCCGTCTCTCCCGTCTAGTCAAGGACCAAATTCTAGAGATGGCACCCCAGTGGATGCTGCTCTCCTGTCCTGCTGCCCCCAGCTCGTCGGGGGACCCGCCTCGCCGTGGGGTCATGGCTGGCGTTTGTGCAACCACTCCAGGCTCTGCCCCGTTCATCTGCCACCGGGCAGGACACTGAGCGTCCGCGGTCGCGAATCAAACAGACCCGTCACACCCGGTTAAAGTCTCCACTGGGTACCCATCACTCGGGATGAAGAGTGTCCGTGGCGGCTGGCAGCGCTCTCTGCGTCTGAACCCCGCGATTTCTTCAGGCCTTCCTCCGCCTCGCAGGGAGAGCTTCGCGGGGAAAAGCAGTCAAGCAAACGAGAAGCAGGACACGCGGTCGTAGGAGGGGGCGGCGTCAGCCACTTTCGCAACCTGCCCAGAAAAAGGAAGGTGGAAGGGGTCCGGTCCCCTGAGAGATTCTCTGAGCCGTTGGCTTACTTACGTATGCGTGTACAATACGGCATCTTTAGAATACAAGGCAAAGCACAGCAACACAAAATTCGCTTGGGAAAATCAGATTTGACTTTTCCACGCAGGCACAGTAGCCCCAAGTAGGTCTCGGAGTAACTGGAATTTCTGCGAAACGTTGAGACTCCCGCAGAACCTGAGTTTGCCCCATTCAAAACTGCCCTTCAGTCCTGTTTCCTACATGCTTTTTCCTGTTCTGGTGTTTTCGGCTTTCATTTGGGAAGCACACTGGCAGGAGTTTGGCGAGCTGAGCAGCGTCTCTTTCAGTGGCTCACGGGAACTCTGACGGCTCCTTGCTAATGCGACAGGTTGTGTCCGTCCGTCCGGCAGGACGCTCTGGGCCGCCACCGGCGGAGGTTGTTCAGATCCTCAGGGACACAGCCGAGCCTGCCACCCTGGCACGGAGGACACAGAGCGTGGCAGCTGGGAGCTACACACATCCGGCACCTCACGGTCTCCGCTGGTCGGAATCTGGGCACCGTCGCTGGCTCTTCTGCTGCACTCGAGATGCCGACCAGGGTGGTGGTTTCATCTGAAGGTTCGACAGAGGCAGGAAGTGTTTGTGGGCACGGTCAGGTGGTTGTGGGGGAGGGGCGGTTCCGGTAGGCTCTGGGCCTGAGAGTTTCATGTCCCTGATGGCCGCCGGCTGGACGGATCTTTCTGTGCTTTCTCGTGGCACCTGCTCCATCGGAACCAGCGAGAGGCAGAGTCCGCCAGCGAGACGGGCGTCTTAGTCTTGGATGACTTGATCACAGCAATGACGCCCCATCCTATCTCTGCGTTCTGTGCCTCAGAACCAAGTCGCAAGGTGCAGCGGAACTCCCGGGGAAGGGATCGTACAAGCTGTGAATACCGGAGGGTGGGGTCCGGGGGCCCTCTCTTCGTTTGTCTGCCTCGTCGCTGCTCAAAAGTCCGTTGCTGTACTTTGTCTACGTGAAATTGTAACCACGTTGCTGGAAGCGACTCCGGCTAGCCAGTACCGGCCCCTACCCGTGCTTCCCTTACCACGTCGGAGCACGGAGCAGGAAACTTCATCCTCACCGTAATACGTGTGAGCTGTGATCAGGGCTGTGCCCATTGTCCAGAAGGACATGCCGACAGAGCGGCGTAGGTTGGATTGAAATGGATTTGGATGAACTGCATTACTTGGGAAGGTAGAAACAGATGAAAATTGTCCGGACAAGTGACATTTGTCTGTCACGCAATCATTTCGGGAATCTTTTATTTGTTTATTTATTTGGGGGGGAGGGCAGAAAGAGGGGTGTTCTTTCCTCCTGCTTCATTGTGGTGTGATTGACACATTCAGCCATGTGCACATTGGAAGGGAAAACAGGATGTGTGTCCCACCGGTAGGTTATGAGATGATTGCAATCAAGTTCACTAACACCTTCGTCACATCGCGTAGGTACCATTTCTGTGTGTGTGGTCAGGATGCTTATGAGTTCCCGCTTAGACGCATTTCAAGCATACGACGTGGCATCCTTAATGATGATCATCGTGCTCGGCATCAGTCCCCAGAAGTTATTCATCATATAAGTCTCAATGCGTAGCTTTGAACCAACATCTTCCCGTTTTCCCTCCCCAGCCCCTGGCAACCAGCCTTCTCCTCTCTGCTTCTCTGAGTACAACTCTTTGTTTGTTTCTCTGGTTGGTTGAGTTTCTGTGTTTGTTTGTTTTTGTTTTTTAGATTCCATACATGAGTGAGATTATCTAGTATGTGTCTTTGTCTGTTTGGCTTATTTTCCTTAGGATAATCCTCCCCAGGCTCATCCGTGTTGATCAGGGTTTTCTTCTTTTTCAGGGCTGCGTAGTATTCCATTGTATCGATACACCATCCTGTTTCTCATTCATCCGTCAGTAGATGCTTGGGCTGTCTCCGTATCTTGGCTCCTGTGAACAGCGCTGAAGCGGACATGGGCTGCAGGTATATTTTCTTGTTTGCTGTCATGGAAACCATGGTCTCCACATGTCTGTTGACTCCCTGTGGCAGAAACAGCATGTTGATGGAAGTGGGTGAGAGGGGGACCCGTGTGCTCATGCTTTGAGGCCACAGCCTCATGGCTGGGACTCTCCATTCTCTAGTCATCCCTCTACTCCCAGAAAAATACCCAGTATGAGAAGGTGACATCCTTGAGCAGGAGAGGAGGGAGAAGGTCATGGTCAAGAGACAGAGAAGGGTGTTTCTCCAAAGGGTCAATGCCGGGGGAAATGACCTTCGGGTCTGGGTTCAGAAGGCAGCAGGCCGGAGCACGGAAGGGGAAATGCTGATGGAAGGGCAGGGGGGAAGGGTGGCCCTGTCGGCCAGCGACAGGTGAGCAGCAGGTAAGCAGACAGGTGAAGCAACGCTCGGAGCCTCACATGTTCTTTGAAGAGCCTTTTCGAGATCCTCGCCCACGTGCCAGGGCGTTTAGGGGTTTCTGAAACCCGGGGGCCGTGTCACCGCTGAAGAACACGATCCCTCCGCACTGTGGATGGACGTGTGGGTGCCCTGGAGAAACTGGCGGTTGCTCAGGTGGATCGCAGTTTCCACAGAGGCCAAGCTGCCCGGACGCGAGAGCAAAGGAAGGGACTGGTCACTGTGTTGTGGGCGGGAGGTGAGGATTTCACAGGTGGTCTCCCGGCGGACGCTCAGAAGGGTGACACGCAGGTCCTGAGTCAGTCTTCTCCACTGGGGCTGAGTTTGCCTCCCAGGGGACGGGGGACCGTTTCTGCAGATATTCTTGGTGTCACGTCTCGGGGGAGGAGGGTGCGCTGGTATGAAGAGGTCGGGGTGCTGCCAAACAGTCTTCACTGAACAGCACAGACCCCAGCAAAGCACTGAAGTCTGACGTCAGCCATTCCCGTGTTGTATCTTTTTTTTTTTCCCCTTTATTGATTTCAGAGAGAGAGGAAGGGAGAGGGAGAGAGAGAGGGAAACATGGATGAGAGAGAACATGGACTGGCTGCCCCTGCACGCCCCCCACTGGGGATGGGCCCACAACCTGGGCATGTGCCCTGACCGGGAATCGAACCGGCGACCCCTAGGTGCAGGGTCGATGCTCAACCACTGAGCCACATCGGCCGGGCCTGATGTTGTATCTTCAGGTAGGAAATTTGATGAAGAAGCAGGCACACGTCTGACAGTGCCCGCTACGGACTGAGCACCGGAAAACTAGTTCTGCAACGACAGTCTGTGCTCATTGTTTTTTATGTTCCATAAAACATGGTGTCACTGGCTGGAGACGCACCCACCGCACCCCAGCTGTCACACCCAATGGCATCTCACGGGGCGGTGGACCATTACGCAGACTCGCTCACGTATTGCTGGCATTAGCGGTGGGCGGGCACAGCCTGCAGCCCACTTGGGGACCCCGGATGTGCTAACCCTCAGCCTTCCACAGGCAGGACGGGTGGGCATCTTTGTTGACCTCCAGGTGCTCTCGTGCATCTCACTGTACTTAGACATGGGGGCCAACGCACGTCTCCACCTGCGACCCGAAAAACCCTCCAACCCTCTGAAAACGGCTCATGCCTTGTTTCAATTGTGTCTTTTTCGGGTTAGCGTGAGGCATTTTCCATTCAACGGGGTCGGCATCGGGTCTTTGTTGCGTGTGGTGTAACCAGCTGCCGCCCTTGCGGTGCCCGTGGTCCAGGTAGGAGGAGGTCACCTTGCACGCCTCCACCCATGGGCATTGTCCACAGTTGTTGCTCATAGACTTGGACACCGACCACTGACTGCTTCATGTCAGAGAGGATCGCGGTGGCCCATGCGTAGCTCCACAGCTCCCAGGGGACACACACATATAGCCCCCTCCCAGCCCCAAGAGTCCCTGATAAGGTCTTCTCCTGACGCCCTGATAAGGTCTTCTCCTGAGGCCGATAAGGTCTTCAGACGCTCCGATAAGGTCTCCTGACGCCCTGATAAGGTCTTCTCCTGAGGCCGATAAGGTCTTCAGACGCTCCGATAAGGTCTTCTCCTGACGCCCTGATAAGATCCTCTCCTGACGCCCTGATAAGGTCTTCTCCTGACGTACTGATAAGGTCTTCTCCTGACGCCCTGATAAGGTCTTCTCCTGATGTACTGATAAGGTCTTCTCCTGACGCCCTGATAAGGTCTTCTCCTGACGCCCTGATAAGGTCTTCTCCTGACGTACTGATAAGGTCTTCTCCTGACGCCCTGATAAGGTCTTCTCCTGACGTACTGATAAGGTCTTCTACTGACGCCCTGATAAGGTCTTCTCCTGACGCTCCGATAAGGTCTTCTCCTGACGCCCTGATAAGGTCTTCCCCTGACGCCCTGATAAGGTCTTCTCCTGATGCTCCCATAAGGTCTTCTCCTGACGCCCTGATAAGGTCTTCTCCTGAGGCTCCGATAAGGTCTTCTCCTGACGCCCTGATAAGGTCTTCCCCTGACGCCCTGATAAGGTCTTCTCCTGATGCTCCCATAAGGTCTTCTCCTGACGCCCTGATAAGGTCTTCTCCTGAGGCTCCGATAAGGTCTTCTCCTGACGCCCTGATAAGGTCTTCCCCTGACGCCCTGATAAGGTCTTCTCCTGATGCTCCCATAAGGTCTTCTCCTGACGCCCTGATAAGGTCTTCTCCTGAGGCTCCGATAAGGTCTTCTGCTGACGCCCTGATAAGGTCTTCTCCTGACGCCCTGATAAGGTCTTCTCCTGAGGCCGATAAGGTCTTCTCCTGACGCCCTGATAAGGTCTTCTCCTGACGCCCTGATAAGGTCTTCTCCTGACGCCCTGATAAGGTCTTCTCGTGATGCCCTGATAAGGTCTTCCCCTGAGGCCCTGATAAGGTCTTCTCCTGACGCTCTGATAAGGTCTTCTCCTGAGGCCCAGGTCCCATGTTCTCCCAGGGTGGGCACTACATTGAAGTGGGCACATCCCTTGGCCTGGCTCTCTGGTCCCATCCTGTCATTGGGCAGCTGCGGCGATGGGGTGTCCTCTGTCTGCAAGTCCACTTCCTCTTCTGGTATTTAGTTCTCAGTTTCCGAGATCGTCAGACGGGGGGTTCAAGTGGGGGCACCCCAGTACCATGCCCGCCGACTCCCTCCAGCCGTCACTCTTTTAGGAGTGGGGTTGTGTCCAGGGTGTTCTCCGTGATGACAGCCACGCCGTCCGGATGGACTCCCTTCGGGGCGTCTGCTCCGACCTCCTAGCCAGCTCCCAGGCTGCAGGCCTCCTGTCCCTCCTGTTCCCCAAGGTGTGCCTGCATGTCCCTGCTTCCCTTTAAAGAGCTGCCCGAGCATCACAGACAGCAGATGTTAGAAAGGCTCCGGCACCGAAACAGATCGGGAGGAGCCTGTCCCCCGGGGCTGCAGCACAGAGCTCCTGGCTGAGCACGGAGCCCGCCTCCCACACCACATGGCGGGCGGGCGCTGTGGGCTCCCTCTCTCGTCTGAGCCTGTGTCCTGGGCCAGGCGTTACCGAGGTGGTCACTGTGGAGGAGAAGCAAAGCTTTGTCTGCAAACACACGCAGGAGAGACAGGGCTCAGTTCTCAGTGCGCGGTGTCTTTGACAGCGCGTCTGTGCCCACGGGCCACGTGGGGGAGCAGGGAGGGAGGCTCCAGGGAAGGCGGGGAAGGGGCGTCCCCAGGTTCGGGCGCCATTCACCATGCCGCCCTCTGCGCCCTTGCAGGAAGATGATGAGCTTCCTGCTGCTGCTGCTGCTGTCATTGCTGAGTGAGGCTCAGAGCCGAGCAGCCTCGAAGCCCAACTTTGTCCTCATCATGGCCGACGACCTCGGCATTGGAGACCCTGGCTGCTACGGGAACAAGACCCTCAGGTAGGCTCTGCGCCGGCCACATGCAGACACCTGGCTCCGTTCCAGGCAGCCGTCCGGGGGCGGTGGGCACCAGAGCGCAGGCCGCGTGGGAGGGCGGCTCCCCTCCCCGCTGCGCGCTGTGCGACTTCGCAGACACGTACCGACGTGGACGTGACGCAGAGGATAGAGCCAGAGGTCATGGCAAGGACACTCAGTCACTCTTTCCTACTGCCCACCCCTGGGATGCAATTTCCTTCTTCGTTGTCCCCTTCCCGTCAGCTCGCGTCCTGTATCTGGTCTCGTTTCGGCCTCTGCCTTTGCTTCGGCCGCTGTGGTGGCCCCGTCCCGCCAAAGCTTGTCACCCGCCCACTCTGACCCGCATACCTGTGCCCCCTTCTCGTCCCGCTGTCCTCTGTCATCAGCCAGCCACCCCAGCTGGGGCACACGTCCCCGGGACCCACGTGACGTGGGGTGACGCCCGAGCTCTCCGAGGGCCAGGGTGACCGCTGCAGGGGCGACCAAATGCCCTGGCAGCCAGACTGAGGGACGGAGGAGAGTGTTTGGGTTCTCAGCCCGCCTCTCCCCGACAAAACTGACAACGGAAGAAACAGTTGGAGGGCCACTGGGTTTAACGGAAAGGTGACTTTTCACGTTAGCGCGTACCCTTTCCTGGCGGGCTCACCCACTTGTGACATTCACTGGTAAACCCCCAGGGTGGCCCGCTCCTCCCCCTCCCCGGAGGGCCGAGGCTGCTGAGAGCTGCTGGGTAGGGGCCCACCGGGGCTGTGGCTGGAGGCACAGGCAAGCTGTCCCCTGAGCTTTCTTGTTCGGGGGCACAGAGGTAACTGGGGACACATGCATGGGGTGGGAGTAAGGCTTGGCCCATCTCACCCCCATTTCACAGTAGCTCATTTTTAAGACGCGTTCTTCTGTTCTGAGCTGGGGCCAAGGGAACAGGAGCTGAGAGCCCACTTGGGCATGTGGGGGTCCCCTAACACATTGGACCCGGGTCATTCGCCCTCAGCATGGTTCCCTGCTTCCTCACTCGGAATCTTGGTTGCGGGTCCTTTCCGACCCTCTCTGCCCTTCACACGACCCCACAGAGCCCCAGCCCTCCCGGTCCCTGGGTGGTTGAGAGGTGACTCGTCACAGAGCCGCGGAGAAAATGTGTAGAGTCATCCTGAGTGACAAGCTACCTCTGTTCCAGGACGCCCAACATTGACCGCTTGGCCAGAGGGGGCGTGAAGCTCACTCAGCACCTGGCGGCCTCCCCCCTCTGCACGCCCAGCAGGGCAGCCTTCATGACAGGCCGGTACCCCGTCCGATCAGGTACTCCCCGCTGTGCCCCGGGACGCCCTCTCCGGGACGCCCTCCCTGCGCCCCCTGAGGTGCCCCCGCCCTAATGGCCGACTCCTCCCGCTGCAGGGATGGCGTCCAAGTCTCGAGTCGGAGTTTTCCTGTTCTCTGCCTCTTCCGGGGGACTTCCCAACAATGAGGTCACGTTCGCCACGCTTCTCAAGAAGGAAGGCTACGCAACGGCTCTGATAGGTATGGCAGCTGGGGCCGGGGCGCAGGCGGCAGGAGCTGGGGAGGGTGGGACAGCCTCCTGCTCAGGGCTGGCATCGCGGATACAGGGGCACAACCTCAAACAGGGAAGAAATGAATCCAGTACTGATTTGAAGCACAATACCCCTACCTGGGTTATGTGAATGTGTAGCTCTGGGTTCATGTGTGTGTGTGTGTGTGTTTATGCATGTGTCTTTGTGGATGCATGGATGAGTAGATGGATATACAGATGATAGATAGATGATTAGATGATAGATAGATAGATAGATAGATAGATAGATAGATAGATAGATAGATAATGATAGATAGATAGATAGATGAAGATAGATAGATAGATAGATAGATAGATAGATAGATAGATAGATAGATGATAGATAATGATAGGCATGCAGAATGATACACCAAGTGGATGTATGAGTAGAGGAAAAAACAGATAAGGTAGGTGACAGAGATAGGATATATAGATCAATAGGTGAGATGTACGATGGATGGATGGATGCATGGATGGACAGATTGACAGATACATGATATAAGTGATAGAGACAGACAAGAGTAGATAGAGCAATAGATGGAATGGATGATGGATGGATGGATGGATGGATTCATGCATGGATGCATGGATGATGGATGGATGGATGGATGGATTATGGATGGATGGATGGATGATGGATGACGGATGAATGGATGGATGGACGTGTGGATGGATGGATGGATGATGGATGGATGGATACATTATGGATAAATGGATGGATGGATGGATGGATGGATGAGTAGATGGATAGATGGATGAATGATGGATGGATGTATAATGGATGGATGATGCATGGATGGATGGATGATGAATGGATGATGGATGGATGGATGGATGGATGATGGATGATAGATGGATGATGGATGGATGGATGGACGGGTGGAAGGGTAGATGGATAGATGGATGGATGATGGATGGATGGACGGATAGATGGATGGATGGGTAGATGGATAGATGGATGGATGATGGATGGATGGATGGATCGCTGGATGGATGATGGCTAATAGGCATAATTATACACACAGAGCATACAAAACCACATAGGCACACTATGCTATTGATACATATTTTTATTTGACTTTTTAGTACTAAAATTGTCTCATCATCTGTCTCGGTTGATATTCCCATATTGATTTTATTGCACGGCCGTGAATGACGCCTTGTCCTGTTTTACTGGACACGCGTGGGCCCAAGCAGGTCAGCGGGCGAACCCTGGAAAACCTCGTAGGAGCAGTGACCGTTCTCATCCCCACACGTGTTGTCGTAAAACCGTCATCATTTTTGTGTGAGGCACTCCCTGATTCAGTGGTGTCGTTAACATTTTATCAGAAACGGTCACAGGTACTTAACCTAACTGCTGAGTTATGAGCGTGATGTCCGCGGGCCTCAGGGGCACTTTTTGGGGAAGTGTTCATGTCCCGTGTTCACATTCGGGGAACAAAGGCAGGAGGGTCCCAAGATTTAATTTTAAGGAAATGTGTTTAGAAACACAGCCATCTCAGAAGGGCACCTATAGTGACATCTGTATATAGTTACATGCTGTATAGTTACCTCTCCTGCCCATTAAATATGTTAGGTTTTTGCCCGGCTGGTGTGGCTCAGTGGTTGAGCATCCACCCTGCACCAAGAGGTCACTGGTTCGATTGGGCCCGAAACCCAGTGGGGGGCGTGCAGGAGGTGGCCCATCGATGTTCTCTCTCATCGATGTTTCTCTCTCTCCCTCTCCCTTCTGTCTCTAGAGCAGTGGTTCTCAACCTTCCTGACGCCGCGACCCTTTCATTCAGTTCCTCCTGTTGTGGGGACCCCCAACCACAACATTATTTTCGTTGCTACGTCATCCCTGTAATTTGGCGACTGTTCCGTCTTCGGCGACCCCTGTGAAAGGGTCGTTCGAGCCCCAAAGGAGCTGCCACCCGCAGGTTGAGAACCACTGCTCTCGAGTCAATAAAGAAAACATAAGTAAATAGGTTAGGTTTTTGTCTTTTGTTTTGGTCTAGGTTTTGTGTTTTTTTTCCCCTTGTAGTCACTAAAGTGTCTCTTGTTTTCTGGTGGAACAAGTTAGTATCCCAGTGTCTGTGGCGAGGAAGCACAAGGTCGTGAGGTTCCTGGGAGCGGGGCTTTGGCTCATCCCCGGGCAGAAAGCCGCCCCGTCCGGGTGCCCCGGGACTGAACGCTCCCCGTCTCCTCCTCAGGGAAGTGGCACCTGGGGACGCACTGTCACAACAACACCGACTTCTGCCACCACCCGTCCAGCCACGGCTTCGATTACTTCCACGGGCTGCCGGTGACCAACCTGCGGGACTGCAAGGCCGGGGAGGGCAGCGTGTTCGGCTCGGGCATCCGGCTGCTGGTGTTCGTGCCGCTGCAGGTGCTGGCGCTGGCCCTGCTCACGCTGTGCGCCCTGCGGGGGCTGGGGCTGCTGCAGGTGCCCGTCGCCCTGCTGGTGTGCCTGGCCCTGCTGGGCGCCGGCCTGCTGGGGGCGCTGGCCTGCTTCCTGCACTGGTTCCGGCCGCTCAACTGCTTCCTGATGCGGGGCCGCGACGTCAGCCAGCAGCCCCTGTCCTACGACAACCTCACGCAGAGGCTGACCGAGGACGCCGTGCAGTTTGTTCGACGGTGAGTGTCGCCGGGCGTCCGGGTGGGGCCGGGGAACGGCTCGGGGGGCTGGCACGGCGGGGGGACAACCCGGAGGGTCCTTCTGGGACCACCGCCCCTTCCCTGTGGCCTGGATGGGCCTGCCGGGCTCGCTGGAGGGCGGGGCAGAGGGACGCGGCACGGGCCGGTGTCCGCCTTGTGGTGTGGGGGCTCACCCGAGACGGGGTTCACCAGGGTCCCTCACGGCCGTGCATGTACTGCCATGCCACCAAAGTGTCTACCGACACCGTCGTGGGCGTCAGGGTCCAGCGTGACCTCCGGAGACAAAGGTCAGCGTGCGGTTTGACTGTGGAGGTCGTTGTGCTCATGGGGGCGAGATGCAAAATAGTCTACGCACATTTCGGAGCCAAGAAAAGCAACCCGTCTGGGAATAAACGTGGCCAAGGAAGGGATCTCTCCGGGGTCCGGGAGGGCCCTTGGGGTTCCTCATTTTGGGGTTGCTGTGAGCCAAGGGCGTGGCCCTCACCTGCCCGACAGACTCCCAGGCGGAGCACAGGCTGGGTCAGGACTGACTTAAAACAGGCAGAAGTGGCCTGGCCGGTGGGTTCAGTGGTTAGAGCGGCGGCCCAAGCACCACAGGGTCACGGGTTCAATTCCCGGTCAAGGGCACGTCCCCGGGCTGCAGGTTCCATCCCCAGCCCGGTCTGGGATGTGTGCAGGAGGCAGCCAGTCGATGTGTCTGTCACACTGATGTTTCTCTCTCCCTCCTTCCCTCCTTCATTCCCTTCCACTCTCTCTAAAAAGTCAGTGGACAAGCCCTGGCCGGTTCTGCTCAGTGGTTAGAGCGTCGGCCTGCGGTCCGGAGAGACCCGGGTTCGGTTCCCGCTAAGGGCACAGACCTCGGTTGCAGTTTGTCCCCGGCCCTGGTTGGTCTTGCGGGTGGCAGCCGCTCAGTGTGTCCCTTCACATTGATGTTTCTCTCTCTCTCTCTCTCCCTCCCACTCTGTCTGAACAAAATATGGAAAAATGTCCTCGGGTGAGGATTAAAAAAAAAAAATCAGTGGACAAAAAGTCCTCGGGTGAGGATTAACAGAAAAAACAACCAGAGACGAAACCGTTCTGTTCCACTGGTCACCTCAGGGGACGGGGGAGAGAGAAACAGGGACATTCGTCTGGAACCCAGACTTGGCCTCTGTGCTCACCGGCCGAGGCCACACAGCGGGTGGTCCACCCGGCCCGCCTGTGGGACAAGCCTGGGGCCCTCGCCCGGCAAAGGGCGATGGATGTGTTCCCTGATTCCGAGCGGAGGACGGGACTGGAGGGCCACCCTCGTGCTTCTGAACCCTGAGTGACCGTTGACATGTGGTGGGGATACCGTTGGGTCTTCAGTGCCCCAGCCGGGTGCTGGGTGCAGCAGCAGCCGCTGGGGGACAGACGTTGCGAGGTTAGGACCTCATTTCCGATCAAGGAGGAGCAGGTTGATGAGCTGTCCTCGGAGGCTCTGTTCCCTCCAGCGTGGTCACCTCCGCCACTTCCCTTCCTGTTGTTCCGGTGTAGTAGTTCTGGTTGTGGCACTAAATGTAACCGGACCGCAGGTCGGTGTGCGCACGGTTGGCACAGCCCGTCCCTCGTCTGCTGCCTTGGCGGCATTGCACTGATGGGAGCTCAGTGCTGGCCCCTCAGGGACTTCCCCGGCCCCCCGTGGGGCTCTCCCGCGAGCATCGCCCTCCGTACTGGTGGGAAGGTTACACTCGCGCGCCGCACTGCACGGCACGGGAAGCTCCTGACACGCGTGACCTGGACACACACAGCCTGGAGGCACCGGGTGAAGCCACGTGGGCAAAGCCACGTCATCGTCCTGCTACGTGAGATGTCGGATCCGCTGAGCTCCATCAGTCTCGAGAGAGCTGCCTCAGTGTGTCAGCCGGGGATCGTGGCACTGCGGACACCACCGTAGTCACAAACCCGTGTTTCAGGGGTCGGGAGACACGTGCGCAGGCGTCGCGTGCAGAGTACCTCGAGTCACTGCGGCAGGTACCCCCACGCTTGTGAGAAACGCGGTCGCAGGCAGTCAGAGGCAGACGCGGTCAGAGCCACCAGAGCGCTCGTGAGATCCGTTCCAAGGCTGCGTAGCCCAGCCTGGCACGTGTCCCGGGACCCGAGGGCGTCTTCCAAGTCGCGGAGGTGACGGTTTGGAAGATATAATCATGGACTCCGCCAGCCCGCACCTTAATGTGCTCTTTTCGGGACGAAATCGCTCTTGGGGAGATGCTTCGAGGAGTCAGCAATCAGCTCGCTGTGTGTCGGGGGGACTGCAGGCCTCTCGGAGAGCCAGGTGTCCTGCCCAGGTGTCCTTAACGAGGCCGTTCCCAGCATGCCCCCTTCTCCTTTCCCACGAGGCTCCGTCCCACGGACCCGTGGCTTCCAGGGGTACGTCAGGCATGGGGCGTGGATCCGTGAGCGGGGCCACCTCACACCCACCACCTTCTCATGCTGCACAAAGACCTTCTGAGACGAGTAAAGAGGTGTCATCCTGTGGAGGACTCGGGGGCTCAGAACTTTGGGGAGAACAGCCCCAGCCCCAAGAGTAGCAGGCGAGTCCGCACTGAGGACCACTTGTCACCCCGAGGCCGCTCCTCACTGGCAGAGAGGACCGTAAGGGGACCGTCCCCTCGGCCGACATACTAATCAGGTCCGAGTGGGGTGAGCTGGGCCAACCGTGGAAAACTGGACAGATGCCCCAATACTCTTCCTCCGAATGGGGCGCCCAGGACGGAGAGTCCCGGGGAGCCGGTGTCCCGGTCACTCCGCAGAAGCTCCGCAGTCGGTAGCACAAGCATCGCCGTGGTGAGGCAGACGCATCCGGGTCTTTGGAGACGAGAACGCAGGTTCCGCAGCGGTGGGAAATCAGCAACCGATTCCATCCCCCCAAAAGTGGAGGCCGCAGGTAAAACAGCGTGAGGCCAGCGAGGGGACCGAGACGCACACGGCACGTCCCTGCCAACACCCACACGGGGCTCTGAAGTGGGAATTTCCAAGAACAAGGTTCCTGTATCCACACCACATCCTTTGTGTGGTCCGTGGAATCCGGTCAGTGGACCTCAGAATTCACAGGACGTGGACGTGGGCACGGGGTTCTCCAGGCCCCGTGGACGTGCCAGGCATCGACACCGCCAGTACACGGGGGTGGGGACTTGAAGAGGCCACGGCTAGATGTGAAATCGACGCTGCTGATATTCGGGGAAGCTACACAGGGCGCAGCTGAGGTGTGCTCGGCACCAGGTCTACTGGCAAATACGTCCAGCATTTGGCACCGGCGTAGAGTTCTGTTTCTTTTTTATTGACTTTAGGGAGAGGAAGGGAGAGGGAGAGAGATGGAAACATGGGTGAGAGAGAACATGGACTGGCCGCCTCCTGCACGCCCCCCACTGGGGATCAGCCCACCGCCTGGGCCTGGGCCCCGGCCTGTTTCCGGCGGTGCAGTACCTTTGCTCACTGGGCACGCTTGTCTACGCTGCCAGGCTTTGTTTTCTGTGTGTAAAACCTATTCAGTCTGCGTTGACACCCAGGCCCTCAGCTGGCACCTGTGACGTCTCGTACCTGTGATGTCTGGTACCTGTGACATCTCGCATCTGTGACGTCTTGTACCTGTGACGTCTGGTACCTGTGACGTCTGGCACCTGTGACGTCTGGTACCTGTGACGTCTCGCACCTGTGACGTCTGGTACCTGTGACGTCTCGCACCTGTGACGTCTGGTACCTGTGACGTCTCGCACCTGTGACATCTTGCACCTGTGACGTCTGTTCTACCGAAGGAACAGGTGCTGTACTGTAAAGATGATGGGAAAAGACTCCTGTAGCCCCGGCCGGTGTGGCTCAGCGGTTAGAGCGTCGGCCCGTGGACCAAAGAGTCGCGGGTTTGATTCTGGTCCAGGGCACGTCCCTTGGTTGCGGTTCATCTGTGGCCCTTGTCAGGGTCACGCGGGAGGCAAGCAGTCGATGTGTCCTTCTCTCATCGATGCTTCTTTGTCTCTCCCCCTCTCCCTTCCTTTCTCTCTAAATCAATAAAGATAAAAGGAAGGAAGGAAGAAAAGGTCTCCGGTAAACGTGAGCATTTTTATAACGAAGGTGTTCTCCTGGGCTCGCCCCGTCCACCGGGGGTCTCCCTGCCGTCCAGGCTGAAGTCATGATCCGCGACTTTGATTGACCTCCAACGTGGTGCGTGTCCGACGCCACCCCACCGCGCTTATAGGCTCCCCGTGAACAGCGTTTCCCGGGGTTGCCTTGTGACCTTATGTGACAGCCTTTTCCCCGACTTGTTTTTATTCTCACCTCCCATTTTAAATCGCTTCGATCAGGGGGTCCTGCCAATGATGTCGACGGCTTCTTTCTTCACCTTTTTAAATTTCCCTCCACATAGTTGTCAGGGTCCCAGCTCCCCAGCTCCGCCCCTCTGTCCGTCATCCTGTAGGTCCACATGCTTGGGAGATGGACTTTTTATTTTTTACCCCCTTAACTTTAAATCTAAAAATAAATGGGAGGAGAGATGGGAGGGGAATTGAACCCATGCATAATGCATAATGCGGCTGTCTATTTAGGGACGAGTACAGACTGTCATCGTCAGTTTATTTGGGGGCGTCTACGCTGGTGTTTAGGTCCATCCTCTGTGTGTTGAGAAGCAGGCATGAGGTTGGCAGGTGACTCACCTTCCCGTGAATAAGGAGTGGTCGGCCCTGTGCGAAAAGGCTTCTGATGGCTTCGTTGCGGCTCTTCCAGGCTCGTTAAGGTCTGGGAAGTAACCACGGGAAAGCCTTGGCCGAGAGCCGCACGGCAGGTCGTCAGAAGGCCCGGCGTTCCAGTGCTAGCGTCTGACGCTGTCTTCTTTCTGAGACGTGGCGGCGTGTTGGCGCGCATCTGGGATGGTCCTGTCTCTCAGGCCCTCTGTTCTAGCTCCCGGCCCAGCTGGGACTGGCCACTTAGAGCCGCTTCTCTGTCTTTGCTTCCTTTTTTTTTTTTTTTATCCTCACCCGAGGACATTTTTGCATTTTTTGTTCAGATAGAGAGGGAGGAAGAGAGAGAGAGAAACATCGATGTGAGAGAGACACACTGAGTGGCTGCCACCCACGCGACCCAACCAGGGCCGGGGACAAACTGCAACAGAAATACGTGCCCTTGGTGGGAACCGAACCTGGGACACTCTGGTCTGCGGACCGACACTCTAACCGGCCAGGCTCTCTTTGCTTTCTTAGTTGTGAAATAATTACAACATTCCTTCATTTTACGTTCTTTCAAAGGACGGAACAGAGGACAGCGGCAGCGCCCGTCACCCGTGCGGGAACTCTGAAACTGCGGGGGTCTGTCGCTTGCTCAGTTTCAGGTGTTCTCCGAGAGCAGAGGTGCCTGGCTTCACTGTCACTCGGGGCGGTGTTCTGTGCCTGTGCTCTGGTCTGTGTCTAACGACAAGGGGTGGATCAAGGCAAGGAGCCACCTCACACGTCAAGGGGGGTGCGCGGTGGGTCTCAGCTCACCCGCCGGGCGCTGAGGGCCGAAGGGACCAAAGCTGGAATCGTGTCCGTTAATGAAATGCATGGGAAAAAGTGTGCACCCGGGCACCTGTTAGCCGGACAGCCGTTGGAAGGCAAGACCCAGGAATAAACCCGCGGGGTGTGGGGTTATCATGAGGAGTGAAGTATTAAGTGACGATATAAAAGCAATGTTGATTTAATGAAACAGAGCATCTCTTTAGAACTTCTGCTGGATGTAGAACATTTGGGTTGATTCTGGCAAAATGAACAAGACTTCTGGCTTAGGTCAGGCATCTGCAGACTATCTCTATCTACATCTATATATCTATACTTATATACTGCTGAGCACCCCTGCAGGCCAGGGATGCCGCTGAGCACCCCGGCAGGCTGGCGATGCCGCCGAGCACCCCGGCAGGCCAGGGATGCTACTGAGCACCCTGGCAGGCCAGGCGGTGCCCTGTGCATGGGAATCCATCTCTGGGACTATGTACCACATCGAATTAAAGTTTGGCCTGTGCCCCGACAGCCCTCAGATGGTGCTCGCTCAGCAGAGCCTTGTAGTGGTAAAGGAATCGAGGAGGCTGCCCACACCGAGGTGACGGCTGAGGCCGTATGGGAAGCTGAAACGCAGTCACATGGAAAGCGGAAGTGGTACACCCTTTCTACCCCTTTCAGGGACCAGGATGCAAAGGCCCAGACCTTCCCGTAGTCACTAAACTCATAGCAGTCGCCCGCAGGGCCACCGTGCACAGGGACTTACGACTGCGGAGCCCGTGTGTTGTCACCAGTGACAACCAAGTAAACCCAGGAGCACTCAGGACTAGAAAACATTTTCGTGGTGACACGGATCTGTCTAGATTGCAGATTTGAGCCAGTTCAAAGGATCTTCCATTGAGCCCCCGACATGTCCACATTGACAATGGAATGTCGATTCTGGGGGGTTTGTTCCTCTGTAGGAGGTTGGCATCTGGCAGGACGTGGAGTTGAATGGACATTAGGAAGATGTTGCTGGAAGAGGTGATAAGTTAGGATGTTGCCTTGGCTACACAGGACGGGGTGTGTGTGTGTGTGTGCATGTGCATGTGTGTGTGTGTTCTTCAAGGTGTGGACTTCGTAGTCATCAGCACTCAGGGAAGAGCCGAATGCAGGAACAAAGCAGGGTGTTCTGCACCACACGGTGTCGCCTTGGAGAACGTCTCAGGGATCTTGCTGGCCCTTCAGCTCGCTGACCCACACAGGGAGCCTGTGAGACCCTCTGCAGACCCCTCTGTCCCTGAGCGGACGAGGGCCAGCCTTGGCATCCTTCCCACTGTCTCCGAGCTGCCCGGCGGCTCCCCGCGGTCATCAGAGCGGTGTTGACCTGACCCTGGGCCTTTGTTTTCCAGGAACGCGGACACGCCCTTCCTGCTGGTGTTCTCCTGCATCCAAGTGCACACGGCCCTCTTCGCGTCCAGGGACTTCGCCGGGAAAAGCCGACACGGAGCTTACGGGGACGCCGCCGAGGAGATGGACTGGGGTGTCGGTACGTGTCCACCTCCAGTGTGTCCTTGAACGTGGCCGAGTCCTTCCCTCCTCCCAGCCGGACCCCTGTGCATTTCCACCAAATTCCTGGCACCTTTATAGGCAGGAAATGTGCTTCTGTTGCCCCCCACTGAACAGACGCTGATTCTGAAAGGTCACCAGAGTGGGGAAAGCATCTTCAGCCCTGAAGTCAGGATGGGGGTGGCCCATGGTTGTAGGCGCACCCTGAGGGGCAGGCTGGGTCGCTGGGCCGGTGATTGGTGAGTCCTCGTCACCGCGTATTCGAGTAACAGTGACACGTGGGCAGCACTTGGCCGTTTGCAAAGTTACACCAGGGGCGGGTTGGGGAAGGGGAGCCCGCAGCCGGGTGCAGCCTTGACGAACATCCCCAGGGTCTCTTATTATGGGTGCGGATGTCATCGCCGCCACAGTCACCGTGCCTTCTTCTGGTAGAGTTGTTCCTTCTCACTACGGCTCTGAGGACACTGCAGTCCCTCGTTCCCCATGTCCCGGCTCCTTCCTCCGGACAAAATGACTATTTCTCAGCGATGGGCCCTTTTCTTGTTTTTCAGAGGTACTTGGAAGTCTTCTCATTCAAAGATTCTTTCTTTTTTAAATGTTTTTTATTGAGTTTTAGACAGAAGGAGAGAGAAACATCGATGGGCCGCCCCCTGCACGCCCCCTGCTGGGGATCGAGCCTGCAACCTGGGCCTGTGCCCTGACCGGGGATCGAACTGGCGACCTCTTGGTGCACGGATGACGCTTCATCCACTGAGCCACACCGGCCAGGGCCAGGCTTTGTTTTAAGAACGTGTCCTGGTCATCCGTCTGAGAAAGCATGAGCAGTCTTGGTTGCATCTCACGGTGTCGGGGAGGCGAGAATTGTGGGTTCAGCGCAGGATGGAAAACCGGAGACTCTCGCCAGTCCGTCCTCCCTCCTCTGGGGACAGCGTCTTGTGTTGATGCCGCTTGGCCCATCCGGACAGAAGGGTCCAGAGGTCACCGGTGCACCAGGTTGCTTAAGGGTTTTGTATGTCTGCTTCCTTCCCCTTTGTCCGCTCTTGGTGTCCGTACTGTGTGTGGCCCCCTTGACTGTGTTTCACGGTGTCCCCCCCCGATGCGATGGAAATGTCTGAACACGGCCACGTGGATTTTGTTGTCGGCGGCAGTTGTTTTCAATGTCGTCCTTCAGTTACGTTCAGCATCGGCTCCTGTGTCTCAGCCTCAGACGGAAAGCGTAGCGGTTCAGCCGTCGTGGGCCGGGGGTTCGGGCTCTGCAGCGGACGGAAGGTGCGGGTGGCCACCTGCGGTGGTGGGGGCGACAGCCACGTCCTCTGCTTGCCGTGTCTTTTTTCCGTTTGCCTTTTGCTTTGTTTACATCGAGGAAGGCGCACCGTCTTAGGAAGCAGGAGACTGTTTTTATCCTGGCTTCTAGCCCTCCTCGGCCGTCTCTGTGAACTCGAGAGACGTCTGACGTCTCTCGGTTTCCCGTCCGTCATCAGCGCGCGGAGAATTCAGGTGCGGCAGTGTCTGTGTTGTGGTCGCTCTTTATTATGCTTCTTTATCTTATCAGGGCGGCTCTGGGATTCCAGAACACCACAGAAATAAGTGCAGGTGGACAGTTCCAGGGAAAACAAAGCCTGGGTCCTGATGAGATGCAGACGGGCCCGTTCGGGGTGGGACGTTTCAGACACCGATCTGAGCCGGCCGCCTTCCGTCTCCCCTTCTTCACACACGGCCTGTGCGCTTCCCGTCCCGCGTGGTACAGATCACAGGCGTACGCCGCAGGGTGAACTGCTGGATTCGGCCCCTCTGGACCGAGGGCCGGTTTGCACGTAGCGTCCTCGGCAAAAGTCTGCGGCGTCGGCCGGGCGGCCACAGGGCCGTGGTGGCGGAACCACATGTGCGCAGTACGTTTGTTTTATTTAACGATTCAATTGTCGTTCGTTATGATGGCGCCTAAACCTGCCCTGAGTCATTCAAAGTCTGACTTCTCATTTTTTTTTTTTTTTTTACAACGACTGGTCCCTCCAGACTAGAAGCGAGAGAGTGTCCCAGACTCCGTGAGCTGCGTTGCAGCCTGATGTAATATTAATAGGCGGCTGGATTTGTTTGTTTGTTTGTTTGTTTTGCCGAAACCTGAGTCCCTCCCCGAAGCCGTGATGTGAGCTCGTGAGGGTGTTTCTGTTGTTTCACGGATCCAAGCCCGGTGGGTCCTGCCAGGCATGTCCCTTGTCTCGGGCGAGACCCTTTTAGGATCACGCAGAGTCGGGCCGCGGCGTCGCGGATCCTTGCGTAGGAAAATGAAATGGGGACATGCGCTTCACGGGACAGGCGGCCGGCGCTCCACACAGCTCGCAGAGGAGCGTGGGACCCGAGAGCACCTCTGTGCCATCCAGACAGTTCGCAGGTGGCGTCACGGGCCGTGCGGCCTGTCCCGCAGGTCCCTTTGCCCCTGTAAAGACGTGTTCGCCACAGAGGGCCTGTCTTGGTTCACTGTCGGCCGGGGCCAACTCCAGCGCCCCTGTTTGGCTGACCGCCTCCTTCGGGCTGCGTGTGGCTGATCTCACAGGGTCGTGATGGCCAAGGAAAGGCTGACCGCTACGAGGTGTGGTCAGCGTTGTCTTGTGATCGCGCGTGTGACCTGTATGCCCGGCACCTGCCCAGAGCCTCACATGACCACAGGGCGCAGCGGGAAGCCTGGCCGCCGTTCCCCTTCTGGGCAGGACAGGGGGGGCTTGCACGAGGCTTCATGCACCCCCCTCGGGTGACGGGACTCAGAGGGACGGCAGGAACTCAACTGCAGATGTCCCAGCAGACACTCGAGTCCGTCCCTCACCTCACAGAGGCGTGTGGTCCACGGTGCGTCCCCGAGACACAGCGCCCCCAACCCGTGACGTTTTCTGGATGCTCACGGCGCGCCGGGGCTTTTCTGGGAGCAGAGACATCATGACGATGGGACTTAGAATGCAGGGGCTGCAAAGGCATTTGAGATCCTTTCAGATCCGGAAAGGGACGAAGGGACAGACGGACGTCCCGAGGGAGGTGTCGAGGAAGGACTCGAGCAATTGGGAGACGGGAAGGGTGGGCATGTGGGGCCAGAGGACGCACCGGATCATCGCAGCAGGTCAGACGGCCCTCGCACCCTCTGGGCAGCCGTGTCCCCATTGCAAAGCCCGACGCCCAGACCCCTCCATGCTGCAGCTGGGGCGCGTAGGCAGGAAGAGGTGGATAAAATCCACAGCTCAAACGCACACCAAGTAGCCTCGGGGCGTGTGACTGCAGTGGGTTTTCTGGAACTGGGGTGACATTTACCTGACACTGTGAGTGGGCGGCAGAGGGGCAGGTGCCCAGGGCAATCCCGCCAGTGGGTCCGTGTCGGTGGCCTGTACAATTGTCGCGCCCTGGGCTCCCGTCTGCCGGCGGAATCCGCAGGCAGCCAGCCTGTGTTTGACCTACTGAGAGAGGCAGGCAAAGGATGTGCGAGTCACAGTGTCGCTGGTGTTAGACCAGCACGTCTGCACCCAACAGACAGGTGAAGGTCGTGAGCCGCAAGGCGAACGCCAAAGTCAAAGTCTGCCTCAGAGCCAGTCTCGCGATGGGAAGGACAAGGTCCTGCCTCCTCTGAGGCTTGGGGCCCGGCGGCTTCCGTGAGATTCTCGCTTTCAAACAAAAACTGTGAGCCTCGGGTGTTTTGTTTTTAACCCATCACCCAAGGCAACCGTCGCTGTTCTCTGTGTCTGTAAGTCTGTAAGTCTGTCTCTGTTTTGTTTATTTGGTTCCTTAGAGTCCACTGACAAGTGAAACCAGATAGCTTTAGTCTTTGTCTGACTTATTTCACTGAGCATAGCACCCTCTAAGTCCATCCATGCTGTTGCTGCTGCAATTGGTCAGATTTTACTCTTTTTCATGGCTGAGTAATATTCCATTATATAGATGTACCACCTTTTTTTTTTATCCACTCATCTGATGGTGGGCACTTGGGTTGCTTCCCTATCTTGGCTTTTATAAATAATGCTGCAGTAATTGCATGGGTACCCACGTCTTTTTGAATTAGGGTTTTGGGTGTTGTTGGAGAAATACCCAGAAGCGGAATTGCTGGGTCACATGGCAGCTCTATTTTTAATCCTTTGAGGAAACTCCACACTGTTTCTCATGACAGCTGCACCAGTCTGCATGCCCACCAGCCGCGTATGGGGGTTCCCTTTCTCCACGCCCTCGCCAACACTGCTAGCACTGCAGGACCTGCGAAAGCAACGTCAGGGTTCTGTTTGTCCTTTTGTTCCTTACAGAATGTGATCTCAGCCCGGTGTGTATTGCCCTTGGGACTCCGTGTATCTGTTTCCTATCTTGCATTTTTCAAACGTTCTGATTCCTGATAAATGGGACCTTTTTTTAAATGTGAGACTCTCGTGTAAATGGAAAGGTGGCATTTCTAAGCAGGTGGCTGAGAATACATGGCACGTGAATGAGGGTTAAACCTTCCAGAGAATAGTGTAGTTACCGTGCTGGTGCCTGGCACGGTGGTGAGTGTTTTGCATGCCGTTAAGAGATAGGATGGTATAGTGATGGTGATGGTGATGGTGATGGTGATGATGGTGATGATGGTGGTGGTGATGATGGTGATGATGATGGTGATGATGGTGATGGCGATGGTGATGATGATGGTGATGATGATGGTGGTGGTGATGTTGATAAAGATGATCCTGATGATGGTGATGATGATGGTGATGATGGTGATGGTGATGATGGTGATGGCGATGGTGATGATGGTGATGATGATGGTGGTGATGGTGATGATGATGGTGGTGGTGATGTTGATAAAGATGATCCTGATGATGGTGATGATGATGGTGATGATGGTGATGATGGTGATGGTGATGATGGTGATGGCGATGGTGATGATGGTGATGGTGATGATGGTGGTGATGATGGTGGTGATGGTGATGATGATGGTGATCATGGTGGTGATGGTGATGATGGTGATGATGATGGTGATGG